GGGCCCTCCCCACCCTATAAATTACTGAGACCCCAACTAAACTGAGGCAAGGAAAATCAGTATCGTGGGTTTTGGTGTTGACGTTTAACACAAGAATATATTGTGTTATATATAAATACAGAGGTTAGGATGCATTTAATATTGTGTTTTGATATATATACAGACATATACATATATGTTTATGTGTATAATTTGCCAGTCATAGGAACAGAGATCTCCTAGATGTCCTTTCTGAGCCATAACTATGTCCTGCTGGTCATAGTCACATCAGTGACTAGTCATGGTCACATCAGGTTGCTCCTGGCCTCATTCAGGCAGCTTCTGAACATGGCCATGGGTGGAGGCTCCACAGCCTCTGGAACAAAGCCTCATGTTACCCACATCCCTGGATCAGGGTTTTCAAAACCTGACTATGATTCTTTCTGCAGCTCTCCTCAGAGCATCCTTCATCTCTTTGTTCCTCAAGCTGTAGATGAGGGGGTTGAGCATGGGGATCACCACCGTGTAGAAAACAGAGACCACTTTGTCAGTGTTCAGGAAGTAACTAGAGCTAGGGCGTAAATACATGAAGATGGTTGTTCCATACAACATGGTCACCACAATCAGGTGGGACATGCAGGTGGAAAAGGCTTTTTTCCTGCCCTCAGCATTACGGACACTCAGGATGGCAAAGAAGATGAAGACGTGGGAGACCAGAATGGCAGAGATGGTGCTGAGCTCAATGACACCAGCCAAGGAGAAGAGGATCATCTCATTGATGTACGTGCTGGCACAGGACAGAGCCAGGAGAGGAGGAACATCACAGAAGAAGTGGTTGATGACATTGGAGCTGCAGAAGGGCAGCCTGATGATGAAGGTCATCTGAATGATGGAGTTCAGGACACCCCCAATATAGCACCCTACCACCAGCCCCACACATAACCTCCGAGTCATGACAGAGGAGTAGAGCAGGGGGTTACAGATGGCCACATACTGGCCATAGGCCATGACAGCCAGCAGGAAAAACTCAGTTGTCACAAAGACGATGTAGAAGAATGCTTGACCCATACAGCCAGCAAAGGAAATGGTCTTTTTCTCCAATAGGAAGTTGACCAAAGTCCTGGGGGCTACCACAGAGGAGAAGCAGATGTGAACAATGGAGAGGCTGCCCAGGAAGAACTACATGGATGTGTGGAGCTGTGGGTGACCTCGGATGGCTACAGTTATCCCTGCGTTGCCCAGAAGGGTGATGGTGTACATGAGCAGCAGCAGCACAAAAAAGGCTGCCTTCATCTCCACTTGGTCACTGAGACCCTTGAGGATGAACTCTGCTACTGAGGTGTGATTCTGCTCTGCCATTCAGGGCTTTTGTATCTGGCAAGGAAGGAAAAAACCCTGGAAAATACAGGACAGTGGAAACCATGCCTTTATTTGAACTGGAATGGGATAACTTGACAATTAGCACCCTGTGCATCAAGGGCATCCCCACTATTCATTTCCAGGGAGCTACAGTGGAATGGACTGCTCTGTGGCCATCTCCTCTAAGCTTGCCCTCTTACACAGCCCAAGGAAAGAGGAGGCCCCTTCTGAAGTGAGAGCATCCCAGCTTCCCCAAACACCTCTGAGCAGATCCATTTATATCACTCAATCCCATTGTGGTACCTACAGTTTGATGAGACCAATGGCTACAGCAGCAGAGAGGGATTGATGTGACACAAACCAAGCCATCAGCTCTGCCCTTGATCCCCTGTGATCAAGTTTCTCTGAAGACAGCACTGATTTTGGAAGCAGCTTCTGGCTATAACTCATATAAGACTAAAAGTACTGTAGCTTTCCTTTGGTGATTTTGGAAAAGTCATTGAGATGAAGGAAAAAAAGCCTTTAATTTGCTGGGAATTAAGGAAGGAGAAGGGAAGGGGTGCTGCATGACCCTAAAACTCATTCAGGACATGAAGAGTTTAATATTACAGTCTTGGAAACCTTGGGGAGGTGATGCCAGGAGACCATGAGCAAAATTTGGGTCTGAAGATGTTATTCCCTTAGTACTATTAAGAGAATATACGATTAGGAGGAATCAACACCATGATGAGACCATTGAGCTCTGCTAAGCCAAACTCACTCAACTCCGGTTGTCTAAGTTAGGCACTAAGTTAAGCTGCTCACCCTCATGAAAAAAAAAGTGTGAATTACAGGTTTCTGTCCCTGATAACATGAAGGTTCAGAATAAAACAACTAAATCTTTACAGGATTAAAGATGAGAATTAAAATCTTACCCCACCAGATGAGTGTCGGGACCGGAAGACTCAGCGAAGATCCATTCTCCGTCAACAGAATATTTCTTTGTAGAAATATTCTTTACATTTTAAAATGAATATCACTATTTCAGGGCCAGTGGTTAGGTTCATCTGTCCTTGTGAGTTTTCTCGTCTCTTATTTTGCAAGGTTCCTTAAACATACCATAAGCACCATGATAAGCACCGTGGCTAAATGGGCTACAAGAAAGATGGAGAAGGGCTTTGGACAGGGGCCTGTAGGGACAGGCCAAGGAGAATGGCTTGAACCTGAAGGGTGCCCAGAGAAGCTGTGGCTGCCCCATCCCTAGCAGTGTTCAAGGCCAGGTTGGACACAGGGAATTGGAGGAAGCTGCTCTAGTGGAAGGTGTCCCTGCCCGTGGCAGGGGTAGGAGCTGGATGAGCTTTAAACTCCCTTCCAACCCAAAGCAGGCTGGAATTCTCCCATCACTCGGTGGCAGAAGGAAGTCACAGGAGGTAACATCAACACAAAGCAGAGCCTCACCTTCATTGAAGCAGTGGCATTTCTTCTTCATGTCCTCAGGTCCTCTTTGGGAAAGCTGTGTCAGAAAACAGCCTTATCAATGTGGGTTCTTTTTATAATAAGAGGGAGCAATGTCTGCCAGAGGGGAGACTGAGATGAGCTCTTAGGCAGAAGCTCTTCCCTGTGAAGGTGCTGAGGCGCTGGCACAGGGTGCCCAGAGAAGCTGTGGCTGCCCCATCCCTGGCAGTGTTCAAGGGCAGGTTGGGCACAGGGGCTTGGAGCAAGCTGCTCCAGTGGAAGGGGTCCCTGCCCGTGGCAGGGGTTTGAGCTGGATGAGCTTTAAGGTTCTTTCTGACCCAAACCAGTCTGGGATTCTATGAAACAAACTAATACAGCGACATCTCCAGCTCCATAAACTAAAATCTCTTGAAGAAATTAGACAGGGAAGTGTTCCATGAATCCATACACCAAGACCACAGTATGGTGGGTAATACGTGTCACAACACTTGGACCTACTGGACAGATATCAGTCAAAAGAATTTTGTTTAGGTACTACTGCAGTTCTCCTGTTGATTTGAATTCAGGTGGTTGCTGTTTCCTTTCTCTTCTCACCACTGCTCATAGGAAAATGAAACAAAAACCCCAAGGAAATGGTAAAAACTTGGTGTGGGGACAATTACTGTCTTAGTCAAGTCAGCAAAGGCAAAAATCAACATTTGGAATGGGTTTCACAGGAAGATGATAACAAGGGGCAACTGTAAGAGTATGAATGGTTGCAGGAACTCTCTTTGTGTTGCTGAAATTCTCTTTAAGTAGCATTAGGAAAGCCAGTTGATAAAGTCATGAGAATAATCAGGGGTGAAGCATGTAGACATGATTCACTCACTCCCTCTCCTCAATGTGGGAGTAGGAGGAAGACATCTCCTTAAATCCACATATTTACAGCATATTGTTCCTGAGCTTTATTAGTGCACCTGGAGATGAAGAGATTGATGCTCTGGGTGGATTTCGCTTGTTGTCAACCTTCATGGACTGGAACACTTCCAAGGTCTCAGAAATGAGTATAAATACATCTTGAACAATAGAAACTACAGAGGGCACTTGTCTGCCTTTGCAAGATGCAACAGCAAATCACCCTCAGTGCAGCTTCTAAGGAAAGGCTGCTAAAACCCACTCTCAAGATCTGCTTGGAGATGAACGTGGCCTCAGTCATCATCTGGAGGAGCAGCCAAACTCATCCCAGTTGCTGAAGGAGCTGCATGGACCCTCCAGGTTTCTCCATCATCACTGTGCCACCTTAAATTTCCTTTCTTATGGACTGTGTCTGCTGAAAACTTTGTGTTCTTCTCAGCTTTAAAATGCCCACACTTCTGCTCTGCTTTGCTTTGCAAAAGGAAGTGAAAGTCAACAGGAAAAGGATTTCTTCAAGTGGAATTGTTCCATGTTGGTTCATTTTAGAAAACAGCAATTATTTTCCAAATGTACCTGTCATTTCCTAAGGAAAACCCAAAATGCAGTCAATGTCTGTGCTGGTTTGGCCTGGGATAGAGCATATTGTCTTCATAGTAGTTACTATGGGGCTATGGTTTGGATTGGTGCTGAAATGGTGTTAATAAGTCCCGGGTGTTTTAGTTATTGCTGAACTGTGTGGGGCTTAGTTGCCATCTGTGGCTAAACCTCGACCATAGAATAGTTAGGGTTGGAAAGGACCTTAAGATCATCCAGTTCCAACCCAGCTTCCAAGAATTGCCCAGTTATTGACCTTCCTCCTGTATTAAATGTCCCAAGGAAGGCAGAAAGAGGAGAGATGAAATGCTGAGCTAAACCCAGGTGGGTGCTCTCACTGTTGAGCTTGAGGGTTTGGTTTTAAGACCCTCTTGTAGCCACTAGATGGAGGCTTGGCTCGTCCAAGAGCTCAAATCTCTTCCAAGAGCTATCCAGAGTCCAACTGACCCTCTAGCAGGATGGGTTCTGCTTCCCTTTGTTGACACCGAGGAAGCTGAGGGTCCTCTTGAGCTGCCCGCATCATTGTCTGTTTTGCCTATCTCCTGCAGGTTGATGCATTACAGAGGATGACACCCGTCAATCACACTGATGTGCATGAGTTCATTCTTTTGGGGCTGACCACCCACCCAGACCTCCAGGTCCCCCTTTTCATGGCTTTCCTGGCCATGTCCATGCTGACCCTTTTGGGGAACTTTGGGATCATTGTATTGTTCAGGACTGATCTTCACCTTCACACCCCCATGTACTATTTCCTCAGCCATTTGGCTTTTGTCAGCATCTGCTACTCCTCCGTCATCATCCCCAAAATGCTGGTGCAGACTTTGACACTGGAGAAAACCATCAGCTTCTTGGGATGTGCAGCCCAGCTCTGCATCTTTCATAGAATCATAGAATCGTTAGGGTTGGAAAGGACCTTAAGATCATCTAGTTCCAACCCCCCTGCCGTGGGCAGGGACACCTTAGGCTAAATCATATCACCCAAGGCCTCGTCCAACCTGGCCTTTGTCATTTTTGGGGTCATTGAGTGCCTCCTGCTGGCTGTGATGGCCTATGGCAGGTATGTGGCAATCTACAAACCCCTCATGTACCCCACCATCATGTGTGGATGGATGTGCTGGTGGCTTGTGGCTGGTTCCTATGCTGTTGGTGTCTTCCATGCGGTGACCCACACCACTTTCATCTTTACCTTGTCCTTCTGCCACTCCAATGTTATCAACCACTACTTCTGTGACATTGCCCCACTCTTACCTCTCTCCTGCTCCAACACCCACTCCTACGAGGGGGTCATCCTTGCTCTCGTCAGCATGAACTGTCTCAGCACCATGACCATCATCTTTATCTCCTATGCTTACATCCTCCCCTCTGTCCTGAGGATCCACTCAAAGGAGAGCAGGAGAAAAGCCTTCTCCACTTGCACATCCCACCTGATGGTCGTCACCACGTTCTATGGGGCAATCTTGCTCATGTACCTGCGCCCCAGCTCCACCTTTGCCTTGGATGAGAACAAAATGGCCACGGTGTTCTACACCATCATGACCCCCACGTTGAACCCCTTGATCTACAGCCTAAGGAACAGGGAGGTGAAGGCTGCCCTCCTGAGAGCAGTTGGGAGAAGGCAGTGAATGGAGGAAGCTGGTGACCAGGAGGGTGTTTCCTTGTTGCTGTTATTGAGCAGGACTCATTGCAGCACGGAGGTCTCTGTGAAGGTGTATTGAGGTGATTACTCTGTAATTTCTCTCTCATTTATAAGGTATCTGACACTGATTTGGCATGTAACACCTGCCTAGATGAAGGTGGGTGAGATGAAGCCCAACCTCATTCATCACCAATGGTCAATGTGCACAAACAGCTCCTCCGGACACCTTGATTCATCCTGTTCATCACATTGCTCTCTTCAGTCACTACAGAGACAGCATGGACTACCCTGGGCATGGGTTTCCAGGTTGCCAAGGTTCAGAGGTGAACTCAAAAGAAGAGCCAGAAACTCTCTTCTTCTGGAGTGTCTCTGAAACCCAGTGCCTACCAGCCTGGGTGAGAACGGAATAGACCCAAAGGACCACAGGACATCATAGAATCAGTTAATAACTCAATCACACAAGTCTCCACTGTACTTTCTCATGATAAGGCTTGTGGCACTCTTAAATAAAGCTTTCCCACCCAAAACTTGGTTCCTACAAGTGAAATTTCAGGTCAAGCTGAAGCTGTTTGGTCCTTTGAAATCTCACAGTGTTGGTGCTAATTTACCTGGAAGACTTTGGGCAATTTGAGCCTTGTCTTTGCTGTTCTTTTGCAGACGGTGTGCAAATGTAAAGAACTTAATCACAGGTTGGGTCAATATCCATTGTTTCAGCAGTGATTGAATCATCAGTGTTGGATTTCCCAGCTCTTGAAGCTGATTCAGAAGTAGGCCTTTTACATAATTCACCAGTAAGTTAAAGAATGGAGACTGATGTGGATATCCTGAAGGGCTCCCTCTTAAAGAAGCAAACCCAGATAAAAAATACAAGTAAACAACTTTAAAGTTGGGATAAACTATGTTCTTGCTCAAGTAAATCTTTCAACGAGTGGGTATTTCTCCCCACCCATAAGAAACAGGCACCTTTATGTGTAATTCACTCTGTTGTAACTCCAGTCTCTAAAGCAAATCACATGAATCACAGCCCAGAAATGCCTGTTTGTGTCCCAGCAATGGAAATCTGTGTGCATGTGTGTATTTATATGGATATCTAGGATCACGAGATGAATCCTGGAATTCCAGAGTGGTTTGGGCTGGAAGGGACCTTAAAGCTCATCGAGCTCCAACCCCTGCCACGGGCAGGGACCCCTTCCACTGGAGCAGCTTGCTCCAAGCCCCTGTGTCCAGCCTGGCCTTGAACACTGCCAGGGATGGGGCAGCCACAGCTTCTCTGGGCACTCTGTGCCAGTGCCTCAGCACCCTCACAGGGAAGAGCTTCTGCCTCAGAGCTCATCTCAGTCTCCCCTCGGGCAGGTTAAAGCCTGTCCCCTTGGCCTGTCCCTACAGGCCTTGGTCCAAAGCCCCTCTCCAAGGAGAAGGATCCATGCAGGAAGACCAGCTTTATTTCAATTTGGTTTGGTTTAGTTTAGTTTTCAGTTTAGTTTTTATTTATTTTAATATTTCATATTATTTTATTTCAATTTATTATTCTAGTCTATTCTTTATTTTAGCTAAGTTAATTTATTTTAATATACATTTTTGTTTGCTTTTTATGTTTAATTTTAAAGTTATATTTTATTTGTATTATTTTTAATTCTTAATCATTTTATTTTTTTATTCCATTTTTTAATTTATTTTATATTTTATTTTCATATTCCTCTGTCATCCATCTATGCACCCCCCCCATGCACACACATATGTGTATGACAGAGTAATATAATAATAATTGCACTTCTCCCAAAGGAAGTTCTGCAAAACACTTCTCAGCCAAAGCACCTCGGAGGTCTCAGTGGATTAGAGAGAAGGGTTATAAAGCAATTACACCATCAGGGGGGACAGAGAGAGCATATAAGTGTCCTCGTCATCTGTCGTAACTTAATGTGAAGCAAGGAAGAAGAACCAAGCTGTCACTGGTAAGGACAAGGGGACATCCAGATTTGTTTTATTGCTGGAGCTAGGAGGTAGTTTATAATTTTAAGGGGCTATATAGTATCATAGAATCCCGGAATTGTTTGTGTTGGAAGGGTGCTTAAAGCTCATCCAGTTCTAACCCCTGCCAAGAGCAGGGACCCCTTCCACTGGAGCAGCTTGCTCCAAGCCCCTGTGTCCAACCTGGCCCTGAACACTGCCAGGGATGGGGCAGCCACAGCTTCTCTGGGCACCCTGTGCCAGTGTCTCCTTGTGCAATACAATGCATAATTCCTTGCAGGAAGCAGGATAGCAGGAGAATGGTTTCATCCTTTAGAGATGAGGGAGAGGAATTTGATTGTTCTGGTTTGTATCTTTATTAGACAGACCATGAGGAACTGTTTATTTCATGGCAGAGCAAGAGAACACCAGAAGAAGGAAGATCACAGGGCACGTGGATTTTGTGAAGGGTGTTGAACCAGTTATAATGGTTTGGTTATTTTTTAATAGCAGTAGATAGCAGCTAAAATACCAGTTATAATAAATCCTTTATCACTGCAATGCCGGTGATCCCACCCTGATTAATTCTGTCATGCTGCAGGTTGTACATAGAGCTAAACCCCATGTGCTTCTTCCATAGGGATAAATGGTTTATCTGATTTTCCTTTCTGAATATAAGCCAGGCTCTTTGATACCAGTTTTACAGTGACTGCTGATGGGAAAGCTGTGCTCATTGCACTGCAGAGATTTGCTGACAGTGACGCACACCCCATGAGCAGCACAGTGCTTTCCATGATCTTAGGCTAATATTGATCTGCTATTCCCAACAGTTTTCCTGTCTTTTTTCTTGGTCTCTTCCAAGTGTTTATGTTACAGTGGTTCCTTGTGGACCCCTGTGGAGGCTGCTCCATATCCCTCCCTGATTCTGTGATTAAAAGGCAGGATGCCATGGTGTATTTTCATAGAACTCTTAAATATGGATTTTAGAAAGAGGAGGTGTAGGAAAAGTTGATAAAAAGGAAAAGATTTGTTGTGCCATTTTTTGGTTTTACTGGTTTCTTTTCTCCCTCATGATGGCACTTCACCATTTCTATATACCAAATAGAAGAATAACCCTGAAATAGCAAAACAGATGAAAAGTTACTGAAGAATAAATGGGGTTTTCCTGTTTCATCTACAGTGTGCAAGCAAAATCACCTTTAAGGAAAACCTCTATGGGGAAGGCTTCCTAAGATGCCAAACGTTCTATTCTTCTTCAAAGGTTGGATTTGATGATCTGAAAGGTCTTTTCCAACTCAGTTGATTCTATGATTCTAAGTCCTAGAATTACAGAATCACAGACTGGTTTGGGTTGGAAAGCACCTGAAGTTCAGCTAGTTCCAACCTCTCAGGCTTGGGCAGGGACATCTCACACTAGACCATGTCACCTCTAAAAAGACATGGTCTAGTGTGAGATTTTCATTATTGATGTCAGTAATTCTTTACAGGAAGCACTGAACCCCTTCTTTTACACTTTCTTTGTTAGAACTTGGGAGGGTTACCCTGGAGTGTGATATATACCATGAGTATACATCAGGGAGATGTGTTTTAGAATGAATGGAATAGGAAACACTTGGCAGAGTGACTGCTACCAGAATAAAACATTCATTGCTTTGCTAAACTGTTTTTTGATGAATGTTGATGCAAATGAAGCAGATCTCTGATAAGGAGAGGGTTTGCCATCCAAACCCTGGGGATTGATGGGCTTTTTAGGTGCTGAGTGTCTCCATTAACTGTTTATTATGGCTCTATGAATACAGCTTACAGTGCTTTAGGAGAAGATGGCTAAGGAAAACCAAAGCAAGCAAGTGACAGAGCTGACTCTTGTCGGACTGATGGACAACCCGCAACTGCAAGCGCCTTTGTTCATCCTGTTCCTCCTCATTTACTTCATCACGCTGGTGGGGAACCTGGGCATGGTTGTGCTCATCAGGAGCAGCGCTCAGCTGCAGACCCCCATGTACTTTTTCCTTAGCAACTTATCTCTCCTCGATGCTTGCTACTCATCGGTGGTGGCACCGAGGATGTTAATGAACCTTCTGATGGAGAAGCAAACAATCTCTGTCATTGGCTGCGCAACCCAGCTTTACTTCTTCATAGCCTTTGGCACCACCGAGTGCTTCCTCCTGGCTGCGATGGCGTACGACCGCTACATGGCCATCTGCAAGCCTTTGTTGTACTCGGCCATCATGTCCCACCAGCTCTGCATGCTGCTGGTGGCCAGTTCCTATGTGCTTGGCCTGCTGAACTCCTGGGTGCACACAGAGTTTGCCTTCAGCCTACCTTTATGCCAGCCAGCCAAGGTCAACCACTTCTACTGTGAAATCACGCCTGTTCTGGCCCTCTCCTGCTCTGACACACGTGTCAATAGGTGTCTTATATTTGTCCTTGGTGGGCTGGTGGAGATGGTGACCATCTTGGCCGTCCTGGTCTCCTATGCCTTCATCCTCGCTGCTGTCTCGAGGATCAGCTCTGCTCGGGGCCAGTACAAAGCCTTCTCCACGTGCACCTCTCACCTGGCTGGAGTCACCATCTTCCACGGGTCCATCCTCGCCCTGAACTTCCGACCAGGGTCTGGCAGCAGCCTGAGCACGGATAAGGTCTTTGCTGTGTTCTACTCGCTGGTGGTGCCCATGCTGAACCCCCTGATCTACAGCCTCAGGAACAGGGAGGTGAAGAACGCCCTGAGGGACTTTGTCAGCTGGAAGTAGCTTTGGCAGGATGTTTAGCTGCTGGTTTTGTGACAAAGGTCTCCAGAGCTTCAGTTGACACCAAGGACTTTTGTTTCCCCACCCTATTCCTTCACCTTAAAGATCTGGTTTGGAACCATTTCCAAGTCTGTCTTTCTTCCTATGACTGGCTTGTTGTCCTGGGTTCAGCAGTAGCAGTCATGTTTTTTTTTTGTTTTTTTTTTTTTTTTTCCTTTGTGCTAGCTGGTGCAGTGCTGTGTTTTGAGGTCCAGCCTGAGAACAGTGTTGGTGAAGTCGATGTTTTCAGTTG